AATTGTATTTATTTTCTTTGTTTTGCTCTTGTATTCTTTGACATTTGTGGCAGTGATGCCGACTCAAGCAAAAATAGACCCGAAAACGAAATATGCAACACTGTTAGGAATGCGAAAGCAATATAGAGTATCAATTGCTTATCGAATCGCATTTAGCTTTCGCATCGCATTTAGCTTTCGCATCGCATCGCCTTTCGTATGGCATTACAGGGTAACCGCCCAGATTAAAAAAATCACACGAAAGGGAGTCACTATTCAGCAGAAACCGAAAATAATCGTTATCATGAAGGATTTTTATTTAAAAATCATTGTATAATCGTTATTTTATGATTTATATTTTTCAATCAAAAATAATCGTTATTCTTTGATTTTTCTTTTTTCAATCATTTGTAATCGTTATGATATGATTTTTATATTTTTGATCAAAAATAATCGTTATTTTATGATTTTTATTTTTTCGATCATTTTTAATCGTTATTTCGTGATTTTTATTTTTTCGATCATCTGTAATCGTTATGTTATGATTTTTATTTTTTCGATCATTTTTAATCGTTACTTTATGATTTTTATTTTTTTGATCATTTTTAATCGTCATACTATGATTTTTATTCTTTCGACCATTTTTAATCGGTATACTATGATTTAATTTTTTCGATCTAAAATAGAAGTTATTCTTAGTTTTTTAATGTGTAAACCGATGGTGCACAGATTTGACTTAAAACAAAGTTTTACAAGGCATGCTTATGTACACAGTAAAGTTGGAATTGTAATGCTCTCACCCCCTAAAGGCATTGGCCCAATGTAGGCTTGCTTTGCTTGCTTCGCTTTGAAAATTGTCAAACAGTTTTTGAACTCTACTAAAATTCATGAAAGTTGGCTAAATGGCAGCTTGACTTCACTTGCTTGAAGCGCTTCAAAGTTTCAAATAGCCGAAATCTCTATTTGACAACATTCGTGATAAATGAATTCAAGCAAATTGCTAAAGGCTTTTTTAAACAAAATGTTGTTTAACTAAAAATGCTGCAAGGATGTACATGTATACATATCTACTTATAAATAAATGTCTTAATCTAAAAAAGTGTTGCCGAAAAATGTAAGTAATTCAATGTTAAATAAAAGTGATTCTTCTCTTTCCATATTTGTATTAAACGTATGTATATGCTATAAAAGCCGGGCAATAAGCAATAATAACTACTCATCAATAGTTTCGTGAAAAAAACGCCTTTATGAGGTAAGAGTTTTTATATGTAAATGAGCTAGTATAATTATTTCATTATTAATTATTCATTATTTTTATCCAAAAAAAATTTATTCACATTAATTTCAATATAAATCTGAAAAGATTAGGAGCTAAGACGATGTTCCTATAATTTTGTATTATTAATTAATTTTATTATTAATTCATGTTGTGTTTTGAAGGAAATTCTTAATGTTAATGGAACAGACTTTGATTTCGCAACCACGCAGCTGATTGCTTTGACAGCGTTCCAAGCTACATTTGGCCAAACAAGCTTTTAAGTAAATTAAAGCAAAATGAAGTCAGTAAGGCCAGCGAAGCATGCCTACATTGGGCCAGCACCTTAAGATTGTTCTATATCGAAAAAAGTATACCCCTATTTTTATACCTTTCATGAGCATGAAATGGTATTATAACTTTAGTCCGATGTTTGTAGGTACCACAATTAGAAGAGATAGACGCATTGGAATATACTTAAATGATCAGAACGTCGAGCTTAGTCGATTTAACCATGTCCGTNGGTACCACAATTAGAAGAGATAGACGCATTGGAATGTATACTTAAATGATCAGAACGTCGAGCTTAGTCGATTTAACCATGTCCGTCTGTTTGTATGCAATCCAGTCTCTCAGTTTTCGAGATATCCGGATGAAATTTGTTAGGTGGGTGTATTTTTATAATGCTCTAATCAATTGTAGGAACCGGAAGAATCGGGCCACTATAACATATAGCTCCCATACAACTGATTCTTCAGATATGAGATTTTTCGCTATAACTCCTCCATTTAAGCAGTTAGGAACATGAAATTTTGCAATACTTCCGCCTATTATCAACAGAATACTTACAGTGAAAATTATAAAGATCCGTCACTATAATCTATAGCTCCCATACAACTGATTGTTCAGATATAAGATTTTTCGTTATAACTCCTCCATTTATGTAGATAGGAACATGAAATTTTGCACTGTTTTCACTCATTATGAAAAGAATACTTACCGTGAAAATGGCGAAGATCGGGCGGCTATAACATATAGCCTCCATATAACTGATTGTTCAGTTATGATAATATCGCAAAAACTGGTATCTGAACAATCAGTTGTATAGGAGATAAAGCTTATACAGCATAGATTTTCTCAGTAGACTGTGTAAATTCATCGGTTTTATGTGCTGGGTATGAGCTACTTCGGCCGTTGGAATTAAAGCGAAAATAAAATTTTCCTTTTTTACTCCTACGTGTTTCAACGCATTTCGCGCCTTCCTCAGGGAGTCTGCTTTATTTGAACGATAAACAATAAACAATAAACATGGTTAACAATTATCATAACATACACATCAGAATATCTCGAAAATTGAGAGACTAGATTGCATACAAACAGACGGACAGACGGACATGGCTAAATCGACGAAGCTCGACGTTCTGATAATTTAAGTATACATTTCAATGGGTCTATCTCTTCTAATTGTGGTACTTACAAACATCGGACCAAAGTTATAATACCCTTTCATGCTCATGAAAGGTATACAAATAGGGGTATACTTTTTTCGATATAGAACAATCCTAGGGGGTGAGAGCATTACAATTCCGACTTTACTGTTTTTGGACCATCCTAGTGTACATATGCAAAACTTTAACATTGTAAAACTGTTTTTTAAGTCAAATCTGTGCACATTCGGTTTACACATTAAAAAACTAAAAATAACTGCTATTTGTGATCGAAAAAATTAAAGTCATAATATAACGATTAAAAATTATCNTATTATCAACAGAATACTTACAGTGAAAATTATAAAGATTCGTCACTATAATCTATAGCTCCCATACAACTGATTGTTCAGATATAAGATTTTTCGTTATAACTCCTCCATTTATGTAGATAGGAACATGAAATTTTGCACTGTTTTCACTCATTATGAAAAGAATACTTACCGTGAAAATGGCGAAGATCGGGTGGCTATAACATATAGCCTCCATATAACTGATTGTTCAGTTATGATAATATCGCAAAAACTGGTATCTGAACAATCAGTTGTATAGGAGATAAAGCTTATACAGCATAGATTTTCTCAGTAGACTGTGTAAATTCATCGGTTTTATGTGCTGGGTATGAGCTACTTCGGCCGTTGGAATTAAAGCGAAAATAAAATTTTCCTTTTTTACTCCTACGTGTTTCAACGCATTTCGCGCCTTCCTCAGGGAGTCTGCTTTATTTGAACGATAAACAATAAACAATAAACATGGTTAACAATTATCATAACATACACATCAGAATATCTCGAAAATTGAGAGACTAGATTGCATACAAACAGACGGACAGACGGACATGGCTAAATCGACGAAGCTCGACGTTCTGATAATTTAAGTATACATTTCAATGGGTCTATCTCTTCTAATTGTGGTACTTACAAACATCGGACCAAAGTTATAATACCCTTTCATGCTCATGAAAGGTATACAAATAGGGGTATACTTTTTTCGATATAGAACAATCCTAGGGGGTGAGAGCATTACAATTCCGACTTTACTGTTTTTGGACCATCCTAGTGTACATATGCAAAACTTTAACATTGTAAAACTGTTTTTTAAGTCAAATCTGTGCACATTCGGTTTACACATTAAAAAACTAAAAATAACTGCTATTTGTGATCGAAAAAATTAAAGTCATAATATAACGATTAAAAATTATCGAAAAAATAAAAATCACAAAATAACGATTAAAAATGATCGAAAAAATAAAAATCATAAAATAACGATTAAAAATGATCGAAAAAATACAAATCACAACATCACGATTAAATTTTGATTTTTATTATAAAAATCAACGGTTACGGTCCCTGCTATTCAGCGATCTAAATGTTTATTCTTCGTATAACTTTTGAAGCAATTGATGAAAATGAGTTACACTAATATTTATCGATTTATTAAGAGGTTACGAATAGAATCTGTAGCGTCGTGAGATCAAAGGCGATTGTATTTCAATAGTGCCGGATGGCCTGGTAACAACTATTTATTTCTATAGGAAAAAATGTACATGAATTTAATACAACATATAAAATGACCAAATTTACGAACACTACAAATATACTCACCGCAGTTTGCGCCCTTCCTCTGCTATATTCACGACACTACTAAATTTATCATTCGCAAGTGCAGCGAATGGAACAAAAGGAAGTTCGAAAACAGCGATGAGCTTACATCGATGAATATTTAACGCGTCAGGGATGGGCGTTTTGCAACCACCCCCGTGAATCACTCAGATTCACTAGATTCTATGTTCAAAACGGCCAGCTTTGATGTTGGACGGCGAAGCACCCCGGTGTTTGTCCTGACGTCTGCTCTTCTGATCTCGCCATCAGCACCCCGGTAGACATTCTCAACCACACCCCGGCACCACTGTCGCCTTGGCATATTCGGGTCACAAATGAATACAAGATCGCCCACATTCAATGGTTTCGACGGTGTGCACCACTTAGCTCGCCTTGTCAAATCGGGCAAATATTCGACGACCCAACGTTTCCAGAATCGGTCGCGCAGCTGCCATGCAATTCTCCACTGTTTCCGCAATGTCCATATTTTCTCATGCTGCTGCCCTATACAAGGCGTTTGCATCGTATTCGGCGACCCCAACAAAAGTGGTTTGGGGTAAGCGGCTCCTCTTGATCGACCGAGATCGGCATGTGAGTAAGAGGCCTCGAGTTGACTATGTTTTCCGCCTCTACGATGACGCTTTGCAAAGTATATTCGCGGGGAGCAACTTCTTTCAACGTGNTGCGTCGCCAAACTTCACGCATTATGATCTTGGCTCCCACTACCAGATGACTTAAAAATCCCAATGGATCAAAAATGGACATAACGTAACTAAGTACTTCTCGCTTCGTTGGTGGCCTGCTTCCACTGATGACTTCAGCTTCCAGTCGAGGGAATTTAAGCTCGTATCTAAACGTATCATCTTGAGGTTGCCAAAACAATCCAAGTACCTTTTCAGCTGCAGGATTCTTTACGTGAAAACAGCTGCTAATGCTTCTCGCATCGACATCAGTTCCAAGCGCTTTTAATACAGTAACTGAATTGGATATATATCCACGCATTTGGAATCCGGCTGCTTCATGGATTTTGGACACCTGCTTTGCTATGCTGACTGCCTGCTCGACTGACTCGAAGCTGTCCACAAAGTCATCAACGTAGTGGTACTTCACTATAGACTCCACTGCGCGAGGGAAGCGGTCTGCGTATTCCTGAGCGTTTAACATCTTAACGAATTGTGCCGCACACGGGGAGCAGGCAGCACCGAAAGTCATAACCTGCATCTCATAAATCTCTGGTGGTTTCTTCTCATCTTCTCTCCACAGGAACCTCTGCGAGCATCTATCTTCGGGCCGGACGTAAATTTGGTGGAACATCTCCATTATGTCTCCACATACGGCGACTGGCCCGGTACGAAAATTAAAGAGCACTGAAGGCATCGGCTGATACTCTTGCGGCCCTTTGAGCAAACTTCCATTAAGTGACGCACCCCCGACTGATGCAGCTGCATCAAACACAAGGCGCAATTTCCACGGCTTGTTAGGGTTAACAACCGCGAAATGGGGCAGGTACCATAGTCTTGGGTTTTCAGTTTCGCTCTCAGCTGGTGTCAGCTTCCGCGCGTATCCTCTCGCAATATAGTGCTGTATTATGGCTTTATACGCTGCTGCGAACGTATGGTCCCTTTTAAATTTACGCTCAATACCCAACAATCTGCTCTCAGCCATCCGGTAACTGTCAGGCAGTTTGACGCAGTCAGTTTTCCAAAGGAGTCCTGTTTGAAATTTCCCCTTTACACGAAACGTTGTTTGCTTTAGTATGCGCTCAGCACGTGCGTCTGCAGCACTCTTTACGACTGGTGCAGAACGCACTCCAAAGCTGTCAATGTCAAAATATTCTTCAACCAAACTATGCAAATCGCTTACCTCCTTTATATGTAGACATGCTGCGTTTGAGGCAACGCTCTTCCCGGTCGGACCGAAGACCACCCAACCAAGCTCCGTGTTGGCTGCATACGGGCCTCGATCTTCCAACTGCATTGTTACGGATGGTAAACCTAAATGACAATGATCCAACCCGATGAGTATCTTTGGAGTGACGTTGGAAAAAGGCATAGGCATGTTGGGCAAATCGCGAGTTGCCACTCCACGTAGGGCACTGCTACTGAGGCTTTGTACTGGCAGATTAAGGTTCGGTAAAGCATAAACGTGGCGCAATCTGTGACGTTTAGTTAAGCCCTTACCGCTGATTTCCAGATCAACAACCGTGGCAGCTTCCTGGGCAGTTCTTCCACCAAACCATTGCATATTCAAATCGTATTCATGGCCACCGATACCTAGCTTTTTCAGAAGTCCCTGGTCCATCATAGTGATGGACGATCCTTCATCCAACATCGCGAATGTCTCAACTCGGTTACGCGGCCCATATAATGTTACTGGCAAGACGCGAAATAAGAGCCCTTGTTGCTTAGTTGAATTTGAGGAGCAGCTTAGCATTGACTCCATCACGTTGGTGGTACCTACCAACTGTTGTTCTCGTCGTTGTGTGACAGTTGCACTGGCGGCGCTGCTAGGCTCGTGCAAAAGTTTGTTGTGCTTGCGCTGACAACCATCGACCATGCACAATGTACGACTACGGCAATCGCGTGACGAATGACCGCTTCTCAGGCACGAAAAACACAGCCGGTTCTGCTTTGTTTGAGCCCACCTGTCAGCCACACAGGAATCTACGAATTTCTTGCATACACTAATTTTGTGATGTCCTTTACAAATCGGACACCTGGCAGCGGGTTGGGATTCCCTGGAATTGTTTTCCATCGCATGAAGGACTACCCGTCGACGACTATCACTATCTTGCAGAGTACAAACCAAATTTGCTAAATCGCTAAGCCAGTTGCTAAAGTCAACAACAGTTGGATATGGTTTGATCGTAGCGGCATATCTGGCCCAATCCATTCTTTTACTAATGGGCAGCTTGCTAATCAACTCTTCTAAAAGCGTTGGATTTGAAAGATGTTGAAATCCATCCACCGACTGTAGAAAGATAGATAAATTCTTAGTCTTCGTTGCGAACGGAATAAGCTTTTCAATAGCTGACTCAGAAATCGGACCTATTTCTTTCAGTTGTCGAAGCTGGCTGCGTATCAACCCCTCCGGTCGACCAAATCGAAATTTTAGTTGCTCCATGACAGCGTTTACGTTATCCGGGTGGATCAACAATGACTTCACCACTTCTCTGGCTTCTCCCTTTAGGCATTTCAGTAGGCGTTGATTATTTTCCAGGTTGGTGTAACCGTAGGCGGCAGTTGATTGCATATATGCATTTGAAAACAATGGCCAGTCCTCCGCATGACCACTAAATTCGGGTAAGTCTTGAACTTTACGCGGCATTTGATAATTGCCAGCAGTAACTAGCGATTGCGGTGTGTGTATTCTGTTTACAAACGAATCTGCACTCGTTGCTATTGAAGGCGGTCGGCATGGCAGTGCACTGAAAACAACATTTGACCGGCAACCGTCATTAAGGTTAGGCAGTGTTGTTGTTGCCGGCTGCGAAGCAATTGTGTATATGTGTGCTGGCGAAAGACCTGACAAAGACAACGATTAGACACCGTTTTCGCTATTTGACTGACTATAAAGCGCGGGATTGTAAAGACTATTTGGAACCGTTGGCACGACGGACTGCCCGTTATAACGGGCGCTTTCATCGAACAATCGAGATTGGTTGTTACTAACCAGCTGTACTTGTGCGTCTCGAAGCTGGTTTTCTAATGCATGTATTTTTTCAAATAAGAGACTCACCTGTTGTGCGGAGATGGTGCTGTTACCGTTTTCCGAACTGGCAGTCCGAGACGTAGCGGTGATATGCTCGGTGCATGTGACTGCGGAATTGCTCGCAATGGGCATGGCAATAGCTGACGAGATGGCGGANGTGCTTGTATTTTTTCAAATAAGAGACTCACCTGTTGTGCGGAGATGGTGGTGTTACCGTTTTCCGAACTGGCAGTCCGAGACGTAGCGGTGATATGCTCGGTGCATGTGACTGCGGAATTGCTCGCAATGGGCATGGCAATAGCTGACGAGATGGCGGAGCTTATGGTGTTTGGGGGAGTGAACACGGTTGCGGCCGTATGGGCAGTAGGTATGGCGGCTGATATGGTTGTTACGGCTGCGACGGCATGGGCAGCTGACATGTACCCTGAGTGTGTGGCGACATTGGTTGAAAGCGTGGTCATTGGGGTTGTGGTCGTTTGGGCAGCAGGCATAACCATCGATGCTGCGGCGGCTTTGTCGGCATTTGTGGTGGCGATAAATTGACTTACCAGGGGTGTGGTGGTTCCGACAGAAACTGCTGAGATTGAGGCTACCGGTGGAGGGATGACGTTGGTAGTGGTCATGGCGGCCGTTAATGTGGCTCCTGGGGGTGCGGCGGCAGGTGCAACAGACATCGTCATTAGCGCTGCGGCGGCGTTGGCAGCTGTTGAACTCATATCGCTAGGTTTTTGAGACAATTCCCGCGTTGTTTCTTGCTGAATGCGACTGCTGCGTCTCGGTGGACTATGCTTCATCGGCATTCTGCTCACCCTGTAACGTCCGTTGGTTTTAGCTCACAATGATTACTACCGCTGGCTACGGNTGCAATGATTACTACCGCTGGCTACGGTTTCGCAAGTCAACCGTTATGTCGCTGGCTGCGACAACTTGCTTGTTAAATGTATAGTGCGATTTAACGCACTGCGAAATAAAGCTGTAGCGTCGTGAGATCAAAGGCGATGAAATACAATAGTGCCGGATGGCCTGGTAACAACTATTTATTTCTATAGGAAAAAATGTACATGAATTTAATACAACATATAAAATGACCAAATTTACGAACACTACAAATATACTCACCGCAGTTTGCGCCCTTCCTCTGCTATATTCACGACACTACTAAATTTATCATTCGCAAGTGCAGCGAATGGAACAAAAGGAAGTTCGAAAACAGCGATGAGCTTACATCGATGAATATTTAACGCGTCAGGGATGGGCGTTTTGCAACAGAATCATATTTAAAACATAGGTATGCCTAGAAATTACAAAATTAAACTTTTTTGAAAGTGTTCCTATTTTTTAGATTTCCCCATACACATATCATTTTTGAGTAAATATTGGCGAATTCTCCATAGTCAAAATTGTTAAAAATATGAAAGTCCGGAAAATAATAATAATAGATTGGCGTTTGCACAATACGTTAGTGTTTAGCCAAGATTTTCCTTCGATTTGTGGCGTACGTCTTGATGTTGCTACACAAAGGGTACATACACACATATAAATTTAGGGCCGCATTACTACTTACATTGCCTAACTTCCAAGATTTTTGTACGATTTCATTGAAAAAGGACTACATTTGTTTGAAAATAAGTATACTTCTACCAAAAATACTACTCTCAACAAGCCAAGTCTAAGGCTTTCTGCACATTGGTCGTCCAATCATAGTTGCTTCATCGTCACAATCATGATGCAACGATTACATGACGACCACACTTTCGCACACTCGGTCGTGATATTCCAATTCATTTGGCTTCTAAAAATTCACTTGGATCAGGTATTTTCTGTTTTTCTGGTTGATATTTTCACGAAATATTTACAAAAACCTGCAATTTTTAAAATATAGACTATTTTCCAGTAATATCTATTATTTTCTTTTCCTGAAATGTGTTTTGTGCATGCATACAGAGACTTTTTACAATTTCGTCATATTTTATAGTTAAAACGCTCACGTTTATAGAATTTTAATGCAATTATCCACTTTTTAATAAATTTCACAGATTTTATGCAAAAATACTAATTTTTATGCAATTTTAATGCAATTATTAACTTTTTCACTACATTTTTCCCCATACAAATGTAAACAAACAATGCGTGCACAACGATTAGCAAACGACATTGTCTTACTTATCCGTTTCTGCATATTCTACGATTTGCTGATAACTAGCCGATAACGACAAGTGTGCAGATCTCCTTTGAAATGCATGTGCTCGGCTCAAAATTTCAGGGCGAGACGATAACGCAACTATGATTGGACGACAAGTGTGCAAATAGCCTAACAATGGTGGGGTGCAATAATACCATACGCAATGAGACCATAATGGCTTTATTTCGCTTTGCGACTGGAAATAAAATCATAATTTTTTATACGGCCTTATATCCAACTGGAAATGGGGATAAAGCCATTATGGTTTTATTGCGCTTTTTAAAATATTTGTTTGGAAAACATATAACTAGTTTTTGCAGAGAAGGGTTGGGGGCGGCGCGAGTGCAGTGCAGCGAGACGCTGGGGTCACTAGCGCGTCGCGACCCGGCGCGGTGTGGCGCGGGGGAGGGAGCAAATGTGCACCCGCCAAGTTATGTACTCGCAAAATTAAAACTTACATAAGTACATAGATTTATTTTCCAATATTCAATAAATCCGCAAAATATCAAATAATTATTTGTTTCATTTAATTAGTAATAATTTGTATCAATTTAAATCATTCAGTATCATAGTACGTATGTACAAAAATATGTATATGTTTTAATAAAATCAAACAAACAAGCTTATTCGATAACGGAACAAAGAACCACTAAACTTAATTTCGGCGCGCACATATGTAGCACACTGTGGGTAGTAGCATAGCCTAGATATTGGTACGGCAAGAGCTAGTAAATACTTTGAAGTAGCACGGCCGAAGGTCGCCTACTCAAAAAGGAGTTGTGCGCATAAAAATATTGCATATGACATACCCGAATTTTGGAATTGGAATTTTTTCATAATTATCTTAATTATTGGTACTCAAAATAGTTTTTAAGAAAAATAGTGTTGTTTTTTTTTTACTTAAAGTTGCCGCCAGGAGTCAATATCTCATAAATAATATTCAGAATGTGTTTTCTACTACAGATAACTTTGAAATATTAAAACAAAGTTAATTTCCGTTCACGGATTCCTAGTACTGGGGTCTTAAAATGCGTCGTCTATATAATACCCCTTTTGACGAAATAATTTGATGATTACCAATGATTTTCCCAAGTGTTTGTAAACTGCTGTGAAAAATTACCGTAGCAATGTTAAAACACACGACGAGAGTTTCTTTATTCACATTCTGAATATTCGGAATACATTTTTCTGTTCCCTTATTCATTAGAACGTTGTTGCCGGAATTCATGGAATATTGCATTAAAATAATGTCGCTAGAGAAACCAAGTAAATGTTTGCAAGTGGTTTTGCGAAAAAATTTAACTAAATATTAATAAACTGATACCTGATAATTTCATTATCTTCTGTTTCTTTATAACCATTGTTCCTGATAAACTTCCTGACTTTTCTAGATCCGGACTGAGTAATAAAGAAACTCGCCTGCGGACAATTAATAGCAAAAATGTCAAACAGTGTGGCCAGACATTAATTTTAATTTCAATTATGACTTTATTACTTGTATAATTTTGAATATGATTTTATTTCACTTCTGGATTGGTTTTATTTCTAAAACAAACTGGAAATAAGACCATATGGCCTTATTGCGTGTGGTGGTGTTTTTGCACCTCACCTCTAACAATATATTGTTATACATCATTTTAAACGTCTATAAAACTCCATTCGAAAACATGTCTGATTTATAAATCAGATAAAAGACACATAGTCAAGCTGTCAATAGATAAGTGCATCAAGTACGAAATAACGTTTTTTTTTTAATAAAAAGAGCTATAAGAAACCTATTTACATACGTGTTGTAATCGACCATACCTACAACCGGCGCCGTGCCGGTTGCCGTAAAGCAATAGGAAACAACGCCACATGGGGAAAGTGAAATAAAGCTATAAGCAAAAATTTTACGTATGAGAAATAAAGCCAAACAACCTTATTTCAATACAAAAAGTAAATGTCTCTTTAGCGGCGGTCCTCGTTGGCTCGCCAACCCGCATCCGAACGCGCCGCGATCGCGCCGCCCTGAACTCGTGAAAAATTTCTGCTTTCTTCATTCTCCGACTAAATATATACAAATTAATATACATAAGTACATACATACATACATACATATCTGTGTTCGTATGGAATAGTAGCTTCTGTCGGGAAGCTGGCTTTAGTATAATGCGCATTCTATTTATTCTTTAAACGACAAAGAATTTTTTGATGAGACTTAATAAGAGTATTGACTTGATAGTACGGAACTATTTATTGTACGTTTATTTACCAAAAGTTCTTCAACGGCTCGGCGCCAGTGAGTCAATCGCAATCGTATGCTGCGAATGCCACATTATACTAAAGCTAAACATTCGACATAAGCTACTGGTCCATACGAACACAGATATGTATGTATATATCTGTGAGATTTTCTTTTAAATCAATAAGATATATATGGAATTGAAATGTGTATAAAGTTGTTAATGACAAAATCGAAAAGTATTCAACATTGTAGACACCTAAGGAAAACTGATTTATTACGAAATCCTTACTTCCTTACTAATATTATAAATCCGAAAGTGAGGTTTGTTTGTTTGCTACGCTTTCACGCTTTAACTATTCTACCGATCATCATGAAATTTTGCACGCTGCTGTCGTTTAGCCCAAATTTAAATATAGGATACATTTAATCTCGATTAGGCAAGAGGGCGTGGAACCTCCCATACAAACGGAATTTTTCCTACTGCATTTTTCTGGAAATATTTTTGATAGACTTGGTATGAAAATATAGAGAATCATTCTCTATTAATGGATCGAGTTCAGCTTTAATAATGGGAGGTATTTATTTAAACATTATATTAAAAAATGGTTGTCAAGAGGCTTTAAAATAGCTGTAGTTTGAATATATTTTGAAAAGGGTTGCCACCTGTTTGAAAAGTAAAATATAAATTAATTATACGCAAGCTATCTGTAGAATTAAAATATGGCTTTCAAACAAAATA